TTTGTGCATTACCTCGTCATTTTAAAATTTTATTATTCATCTCTTCGAATTCCTTAGATTTCATAGGTAACGGATATGTCCCTTTCAAAGATGAATACTTCAGGTCTATTGAAACTTGACGCACACTTTAGTCCTTTTAGAAATTTATCTTTTAATTTATTTCTTATCTTATTTCTATTCTTATAATTTAAAAAAAATGTTAAAAACATAATTTAATTATATATATTTATATATAAAAAAATTCTAAATATATACTAATTACTCATGACAGTATTCGAAATAGCATATCTGTTCTACAAGGGGTAGGGTCCTTGACCCAGGCACCCTGGTGCTACACCGTTTTCCCAGTGCGTCAGAGATGAATTTTGTTACTGGTAAGTACCAAGAATTATTAGTATCGGAATCAAAAAGTTTTCCTTTGAGACCTTATTTTGGCCAACCTATCCTGTATTGACAAAGTAACGACGGGCTTCTCAGACGCAAAAGAAAGAGAAGTACATGTACTTCGTGTTTTCATTAAACCGAGTATGTGGTTTGCATGTGACGTCACAGATATTTGAAATTGTATCTTTGATTATAATCACGGCGTATACTTTTGGGGCTTCCAGTTATGTGGTTCTATGAAGAAAATGAAAACATTTAATACTATCGAGAATTCTAAAGATATGTTGCTTTTAAATATTGTGTGACTTTGCTGTAGAATTTATGTGACGCAAATGCACAGAAAAAGATGTTTAATACAAAGTTAAAAATACAATATAGTAATAAAAAATAGTAACAAAAAATTAGGTGCTACTTTGGTAGACGGTTGCACGGATTTTTGGCCATTTACGTTGGCGCTGTTTCTAACAATCGTCAGCCATCTTGAAAAACGCCGTTTTTACGTATTTTACGCATAGTAAAGTATTCGAAACTTAAAAAAAAAAAAAATAAATATCGTTAAAAGTAATGGATTAATTTTTTGTTGAAAATGTCGTTTTTTAAGATGGCAAGCAAATGTAAATAAATACCATGGCTTAAGTTCTAAGATTAGAAGTGCCGGAGTCCTATGGAAGACCGTCAACAAAGAGGAACAAGAGTAAACAAATAAATAAAATGACTATTAAACTCATTAATAATTTTTAAATTAAATAGTTAATTATTATCAAATTAATTAATAACTATTTAATTAATGTTTATAAATTGTTATTTAATCAATAATTATTATATAATTAATTAATTATAATTTAATTGATAATTATTAGATAATTAATTATTATTTAGTGAAATAATTAAAGATTGAAGTAATTGAATAATTAAAATTAAATAAAATGTAAAGAGATAAATTGAAATTTAATAAACGATTTTTAATGTAATTTTATTGTTAAAATACAATTTTCGAGATAAAATTTCTACTGAAATTGTTATTCAATTACATAAGAGACGTGCCGCAGCCTTCTTATTCAGGGCTCCGGTGCGTTCCGACTAGAATTATGATTTATTACAAAAACTAAGAAGCACCGGAGCCAAGTTCCTGTGGGCTCCGGCCTAATTTAAGCTCTAATCGTAGGGAGTTTGTTTATCATCACAAAAATTAAATATACTTAAAGTATAGCTGATGAAAATTCCAGGGCGAAACAGAATGAGGGTATGAGTGGGTGGAAACAAAAAATGAGGGGGGATCTTGGTGATGAAGAACGTTCTCTTTAACCGCGGCTCTCTGCTGATATAATTATAGCCATCAAGCAAATGTGTGTCAGAGGTAAAATGAGTCCTGCATCTGACTCCTAAGGATGAATGTAAAGTTGCTGTTTACGCTTTCCCGCACATTAGTGGATATTGTGGGAAGACGATGTATAGGACGTGCTTGAGCAGTTTATCTCAGTATTTCACTCTTATTGTACTCGCTATCACTTAACGCACATTTAAGAACATTAATTTTCCTTCCTGTGAGAGTAACTAACTGTAAGCATCGATAACAATACACTAGATACGATGCCATGGCGAGAAATTTATGCGTTTTTAAACAAACTCCCCCAAATTTATTGCCCTTTTTAAAGGGAAAGGTTTCAGCATGTGAGTGAGGGGACTTTACTTGAACGTTTCAAGTTCCTTATTATTAAACTAAAACGTTACGAATTCTAAATTTTTCCCCTTTAAATTGTGGTTCAGTTTTATAAGAAGTACCGGATCTCATCTTATTTAGGGTTTCGGTGCGCTCCGGCTAAAATTGTAATTTATCTCAAAAACTAAGAAGTACCGGAACTGGGCTCCGGCGCATTTTAAACACTGATAAATACGGTAATTTTCCGTTTCGCCAGCGCAAATCTCGCCAAGCAGACTTCATTCGTGACAACACACAGTATACGCATATAAATTTTTAACAAATGTTAGTTCTAAGAAATTTTTATTTTGAAGGTATGAACATTTTAATATCGGTTAAAATTTTGTAAAAGACATTAATTTAAGAATTTACTATGCTTTCATGGTTTTTTTCATGGAATTTACTATGCTTTCAACACCCTGATTTGCAGTTTCTTATCACGTCACCCCAAGTGATCTCATCTCCCGTAAACTACGTTACAAAAATCTAATTCTCTCAGTAATGATCTACATTAATTTGAAGTTAAATCTTAATTTGTAATACAAGTTTAAATGCAAGAATTATTTCAATTCGTACGAATAACTTACTCCAAAATTATGTAAAACCGCAGTACTTTTACTTCGCTAGTGCATTCTCATTAGAATGGATGAATTTAAGGGTATAAAATTTAACTATCTGGGTAAAAATTATATGTAATTGTATACCAGTATTGAAAGAAACAATCAATCTGGTAAAAAATGGCTGCGATTTGTTTGAAAATTAGGCGTAAATGATTACCAGCAAGAAAATTTCGTTTGGTATCGGTTGTACCATTTTTGGCGACTTTATCGCTTGCGCCGGCAAAATGGAAAAGTACCATAAATACATTCACTATGAGTATAAAATACTAAAGTAAGGTTAAATTATTACTTTCATATAGCAAAGAAATAAAATAAAAACACCGCTATAAAAACATTGCGCCAACGTTTAACTGGATAAAAATATTACTTAAATTGAATATCGAATTAAAAACATCATACCAACTTTTAAAAGAATTAAAATATTACTTAAATTCAATATCGAATTAAAAACATCATACCAACGTTTAAAAGCATTAAAATATTACTTAAATTCAAATCCTTTAAAATAAGTTTTATAGGATATAATTATTTAACATTAAAACATATTTGGCAATAAATATCTCGGCTATTTTTGAAAACAGTGTATTAATTTTTTAATAAAACCTGAAGTAAACAATTATTAAGTAAAAGAAAAATATGTACTTACATTTTTTTTAGTATTTAACCTGTCGTATATTGATAAGTACCACAAAAAAATCAGAATCATAATTCAGATATCAATGATGAAAATTTGAAAAATGTAACATAATTTAAAAATTTTAATCTAAGGAAAAAATTTGAAAAATGTAACATAATTTTAAAAATTTATTCTAAGGAAAAAATTTGAAAAATGTAATCTAAGGAATTCGAAGAGATGAATAATAAAATTTTAAAATGGCGTGGTAATGCGCAAATATTCAGTAACCAATCAGGGAGCTGATTATAGCTCGTTAATGCACAAATATTCTGTAACCAATCAGGGAGCTGATTACATCACGAATAGAATTGCTTAAATAATCATACATAATAAAATCATTTTTTAAAAAACGCAAAATTAAATTGTATTTAATATTTAACAGCCATAAATAATGTTTAAAACATTAGATTAAATTTATAGATATTGAAACCAATTACTTTTAAAGCAATGTGACGTCGTTCATTACATCATCCACAACATGAAATTCCATAAAATATCATAAACAATAAAATTTTTATTTTAAATAAAAATGCAAAATTAAGTTGAATTTTAATATTTAGAAGGCATAAATAATATTTAAAACACGGAATTTATGCATAACAAAACGCATTATTTTTTAAATAAAATGACAACAAAGTATCGTTTTACCATAAACCAAAATCTATGCAACCGTCTACCAAAGTAGCACCAAAAATTAATCCATTATTTTTAACGATATTTATTTTTTTTAAGTTAGGAATACTTTTTACTATGCGTAAAATACGTAAAAACAGCGTTTTTCAAGGATAGCTAACGATTGTAAAAACCGCGCCAACGTAAATCGCCAAAAATCCGTGCAACCGTCTGCCAAAGTAGCTCCGAAAATGCTTTAAACCGCCAGGTTTTTAATGAGTTTTATAACTTATTTTATCTAAAATAACTGTTTAAATTTTAGTTCGATTATGTAAATGTCCTAAGATTTATTTTCGCTTTACAGACAGCATTTTTATTTTCATCTGATAAAGTTGGAAAACTTGAAATTTAATAGTTCAGTTATTTAAAATTAAAAGTATCACTAACAGTTTGATAGATTGATTCAAAGATAAAATAGCAGTGAGAAAGTAGATTCTCAAAAGCAAGTAAATACACAAAAAAATAAATAAATACATAAAATAAAATAATAATAAATAAATAAATAAATAAATAAATAAAATAAAATAAAATAAAATAAATAAATAAATAATAAAGGTAATAATCTAATAAACTTTAATTTTTCTGAAATTTAATTTTTATCACCTATGACTTTTGCAACTAAAAATCATCAGTAATACTTCTAAGGCAATTTGAATCTGACCACATCAGAATTTTGAGCTCTTGTTTATCTCGATTTTATACCCTAATCAAATAGTTGAGCAGTGCCATTTAAAAAATATAATATATCCAGAAAATAATGAATTTGTTTTAAACATTTTGCAAACGTGATATGAAATGTCTGACGATAACTAACGCAAGTGAATTAAATAAAAATATAATAAGAGCCTTCTCATATTCAGCGAAACTGACCACTGATGCGCATGCGTTGAAGCTTAAAACACAACCACGCCCACAGAAATGCTGCGAAATCTCTTCCCATCATGCACCATTCAAATCTCTGTCTCTGTCCTCTTAGGATCCTGCCGCTCTTCGGCATCAACATCATCACAAGATGGCCTCTGATGGGAGCAGTTCTACCGACGCAAGACCGACTCGCCTTCCGAGTGAGGAACGGAGGGGAGCCGCCTACGCCCGGGCTGTCGAACCGGACCGTGGAATACCTGCGCACGTAGGAGGAGAGAAACAGTTGCACAGTGCCACAGGTTACAACTTGGTGATAGATTCTAAAGGTAGCATCTACGGAACACGCGAACCCTATAATCAGGAAGGTATTTATCAAATATAGAACATTGTATTGGTTATAGACTTTTATTTGGATCGCTGTAGGTGGAAGCATTTTATTTTATTGATCGATTGTCGAAAGACTTCTGAAGGACACTGAAATCTCAGCGCCTTCTTGCTTTGAATTTGCGTTCACAATTTTTATTTTATTCCTTCTCATCTCATGCCTTCATTTATGAAATGATAATCCTAATCTCAGGACTTATACAAGAATATCTTTGACAAAATAAAAAATAAATAAAATAATAATAATAATACAAACGCTATTGTTCTAACTATTAAAAAGAGTATTTATTCCGTTTCGTATAATAGTTACGTACAATCCTTTCTAGTTAAAAATTGATTTAAAACGTTTGACTTTGAATTCAGACAGATTGAGTTCTTTAGACTGATATGTATACATTAGTATCATACAAATGAATCTATCTGTAGATCATAATTTCCATAGATATTATTAAAAAAATAACTAACCTATTGTTAAGGAAATGTTACAAAAAAATAAAGATTTGACATTTAAAAAAAAAAATTCATTTTTAACTTTTGAAAAAAAAAATGTCCTTTTTTAACAAAAAAAAAATCATGTTACATTATTCTCAATATTCAAATTAACTATATTAAAAGGAATTATACTAATTTTTGTACAGTTAATTTCTTCAAATAAATAATATTGAGACGATATTAATAAATTAATGATTTTTAATTCCTTAAATAAAAAATTTTAAACTACTAGCGCCATCTATGTCTCGTAAAGTGAACTATTAACTCCATACGCGTTTTTCGATCAGTTATGGTCACTTATATTAATTTTATGGTACGAAAACTTGAGAGGGCAAAATTATGAGAAAACTTTATTTCCGAAAGATGTGATTACAGCAAGAACATAACAAATGAAAAATATCATGGGTAAATTACAGGTAACTGTGACAAAATTATTTCATTAAAAGAAACCTACATTCCAATAAGAATACATTTTAGGCCTCAAATCATTCACAAATAATTAGAGAAGGTGAATCTTAATCGTAGACTCAACGTCAATTCGTCTTTTCTTCACTGTGATGGGTCTGTTCTTGTATTAAACTGGCATGAAATTCAACATTTAGAAAGGAAAGTTTCGGTATGACCTTCGCAGTTAATTTGGAAGGGTTTATTTCTGTTAGGCAGATGAAAAAATTCACTACGTTGACAAATCGATTTCAAAACTTATGGAAGATTGTTCTCTGAACGTATTGAAAAAGGGGAAAATTACGCAAATAATTTAAAAATCTTTAGAACCTGACGATTAAAAGCTGAAGGAAAAATTTCCGAAGAACTACGGCATATTTTTACGTATGTGCCTTATTTTATTATCGCTATTCCCCATTTAGCTCCAATTCCCCTTTTTGCTAACCCTACGGATATGTGTATCACAGGTTGAGAATCACTTTTCTAAATCGTATGTTTTAACATGAAACTGCTTTTTCTCTTTCAGCTTCAAAGAAAGCAATATCATTAAAAGAATAAAATGTATGGGGAAATGTTTCCAATAATGAAAATAATTCGTAATGATTTTCTTCAATCAAACCTATAAATAGGCGTTTCCGTGTTGAGATGGTGGTAGAGGAGCCGACTGCTATAAATCCAGTTTTTAACCCCGAAGAAGCCTTGGGTCCAGTTTTGAATCCGGAAAAAGGAACGTACGTTTTTATATCTATACTATCATTGCGGCATGGTAATACTTAAAATACTCTCAAGCTGAAACCCTACCGAGAAAAAGAACCGGAAAGTGGCTGAAAGATAATGATGGATGGAAGACACTTAGATCCATCCTCCGGGAGATTCCCACTCAGACCTAAGACGAAACTGTCCGAACTCCCGAATTCGACGAATCTTATAAGGCACCAAGGGCTTAAACGAACGACAAGGCGTAACCCTTGCTTCTTCGCCAAGATAAATTTCTTTTATATGATCTGGTTGAAGGTCACGATTAGAAAATCAACACGATTAGAAAATAATAACATAACCATGTTTTTCATGGTAGAATATATAGATACATCTATCAGTTATTGTTATGTAACATATCAATGAAAAATAATGCTTACTCTCAGCTAAAGTGCAAATTTGTTGAAATCATTTTCATGTTAAATAGGAAAGCAATTTTAGATTTTGAGTAGCATTATTTAATTATGTATATGCAAGGGCGAATTCTCGTATCTAAAGTTAAAAGAAAGTAATATTTTTTGTCAGATTTCAAGAAAAGCAAAGTATTAGAACATTCCCCTCCTCGGATTCTACTAATCTTGAAAGAGATCCGAGTTTCGAAAAATCGAGTTTTTAACTCCCCCCCCCCCCGACGTTCGAATCTTTGAAATCCCATCTTAAGAAATCGTCACTTTTTAACTCAAAGCTTTAAAGGAAGATTCGTATGATGATAAGTAGAAGCTTTCTTCAAAAAAGATCGTGACTATTGCAATTTCATTGGACTTCCAGTATCAGCTAAAAAAAAAAAAAAAAAAAAAAAAAAAAAAAAAAAAAAAAACTGAAAAAAAAAAAATCTAAAAATTCTGAATTATTGCCCTAATATTTTTAGTGAAAGAATGTTGATAAATTCTCGAGATTCGAAAGTTTTAATTATGTTCTTCATTTACCAAATTTCATTTATACCTTCTTAATAAATATAGTCTATTTTTTTAAAACTATACTTTTAAACTTTTTTTTAAAGTAGATTCAGATTTTTCTTTAATTAAACATTTCTAATATTAACTAAATTTTCTTTTCCATATTACTCTTATATGGGAATTTCGAGAGATTCAAGATCAGAGTCTTTGAGAATTCGGATTGGAAAAAATTAAGATTTTTTTCCCATTTCATATTTACTTGCAGAAATTATACACAATTTTTTAGTGTACTAAATCTTGGTTTGGTTTACTTGGTTACGGCAAAGCAGGGCAAACAGCCCCTTGAGCTATATGCCTAAGAGGAGGGCCGCCTTCACGGAGGACTTCCTCATGGCTCGTATACACGTTACGCATGGGAAAGACCACGAAAGCACGAAAGCGCTCTTGCAGCTAGCTCCTACGCCGGAATTCGAACCCCGGACCGAACAACCAGTGTTCAGCGATTTATCCGCTCGGCCTCTGTTGGGCCGTACTGAATCTCGAATTGTCTAATTGTAGTGTCAGTTTTAAAACGATTAATTATAATTTTATTTTATCATAATTAATAATCCAATTATCTCTATTATTCTATTCATTTGGAAAATCACTTATCATAAATAATTTTTTAATAATTTTATTTCTAGCTGTCATGGAGCTTTCCTCAAGAGCTGCAGGAGAAGTCCAGATTAAAGGCAAAAGTTCAAAGTTTTACCTTGCAATGAATGAGAAAGGAAAAATATATGCAGAAGTAATTGAGACACTTATTCTTTCTTTTTGATAATATGTTTTTATCAAAATTTTACTTAAATTATCCTAAACTAGTTCTATCAAAATTACAATTGAAATTTAAAAACATAATAATTTGCTAGAAATTAAATGTCCTCTAATATAGTAATAAAATAAGATAATGTAAATTAATATCATCAGTGTTTCCATATGCTTAAAGGACAGAGATTTCACTTTGTTGAAAGTGTGAGTAATCAAAGTTAGACTGAAAGCTAGCTCTTTCTTTAATTTTTTAAAGGGGGTGGGAATGGTTAAGGTTTTCTTTAACTAAAGTACCTTTCATTAAAATGATAATTAAATGAATAAACACTTTAAATAAAAGATATATTATTATTTTATAAAGGCTTTTTGAATAATGAATAAAAAGGATTTTTTAAATATAAATGTAACGAGAATAATATTTTACAGGGGTATATAATTTAATCCTCGGATAACAAAACAGAATTGAAACGTTATTTTGCGAAGTAACCAAGAATGATTTATATCAATATAATCTTTAATTTATGGAATTCATTTTTTTCTAATTTTGGAGCTGGCAATAGGGAACTTGTTTGTTTACAGACAAAATGGCCTCATGTAGTCAAAGAGCAATCTACGTCCTCTAGTTATGGGAAACGAAATCTCCGAAAACAGTTCAGAGACGATTCCGACATGAATTTAATAAACCTCCATCAACGGAACAATCAATTAAAAGATGGATAAAACAGTTTTAAGAGACCGGACATGTTTTGAATAAAGGAGATGCAGGTGACAGGTGACGGAGGACGAGGACGCCTGAAGTTTAACAGAGGTTAACAGGCATGTGTCCAGCGTCCTCCTTTGGAGTATAAAGGAGATGCAGGTAAACCAAAGATCAGTGAAAAAAAACAGGAAAAGGTTTCCGCGATTCGAGATGTGTTTGCGTTCAGTCGTTCAGTTCCGGTAAATCCATTCACCTTGCCATTTTGCAAACAAGAATTCTCATGTCGACTGTGCATAAAATTTTTATTGAATGGTTGGAAATGACTACTTATAAATTGCAGATTTGTCAATAAATCAAACCTAATGGTCGAGTTGTTGGTAAGGAATTTTCTGTAGGCATTCTTGACTGTCTCAGTAATGACGATCAGTTTGTTCAGAAAATCGCATTCAGTGACGAAGCGGCATTTCATGTCTAGGAGAGATTAATCGACTTAAGTACAAGATTTCGGATTTAGAAAACCTGTATTGTGTAAGGGAAATTGAGCTAAGTAGCCCAAAAATTAACGTTTGGTGTGCACTTGCTCTTAACAAAGTGAGTAGTCCCTTCTTTTTCTTCGATTCGTCAGGTAATTCGGACGTGTGCTTTGATATGCTAAGATTGTTTTTTGTACCGCTGTTAGAAGAAATCCAGCCAAACATTTTTGCTAAAATGAATGGACCCCTGTCACTGAGCTACACATATTGGGGATTTCCCTGATGAAACATTCCCAAATCGTTGAGCTGGTAGGAGCTGGACATGGCCTTTCCGCTTTCAAGATGTTACATCACTTGACTTCTTTTTCTGGAGGATACCTGAAGAACAGATTTTACACTGCACAGGTTCGCAGCAGCGAAGAATGAAAAACTCGAATCACCACAAAAGCAACTATCATGACTCCGCAAATGCTTAATAACGTCGAGGGGAGGGAGAATCGGAATCAGATTTGATATTCTCCAAGCAACTAATGGTGCTCATGTTGAAATGTATTAATAAAAAATTCTTTAAAGTCAGTCAGGCTTTTTCCCTCTCTTATTCTGTGTTACTGAAAACTTACCTGTAACCGGTGATAAATTATAGACACCCTGTATATCTCTTTACTTGAAATGATACTTTTCATTATCTGTATCTTAGGCTTATTTATCGTTGTTAATAGTTTTGTACGTTGTTACGTGCTACAGGTTCGTAGAGATATCTTTAAATAAACAGACCATTGAACAGCAGAACTTGCTGAGATGAATAGCAACTCTTACAGACCGGATCAGAAAGTATGAAACGTTTCAAAAATCGCTCGAAACGCAGTCTAAAGCAACTCAAAGCCTAAAGCAGTAACCGAGCAAAATGATTTGTTAGTGGGCTGTTTTATTTACTTACGCAGCCGTCTAACTCTGAACAGAAATCACAATTCTGAACCAAGTGATTGAGCCCAGAAAGTCCCACAGAAAGGATAAAAACTTCGGAATTTTGTAGGGAAATCGCCTTTAGAGCTTCGAAAATGCGTTTCATGAAAATTTCAAAAATATCAACGAGTTGATGACGAATTAAATTTCGGACAACAAAAGTTTACCTGTAAACTTTTGTTGTAAACGTCCATACCTGCGGTTCTTGAAGGGTTTCGCCCACATCTTCGATTTTCCTTGATTTATCCTTACGAATTAAAAGTCAATCGATTGAAAATTAAAGGCCTACGATATAATACATTAAATAAATACCATTAGAAGTACAATAAGTGGCAGTAAATTCAAATTTTAAAAAAGGCATAACAAGTTAACACAAAATTTTCATGCAAAATGCATTAAATAAATAAATTAAAAAATAAAACAATATGTTATACTGCACAATATATACCGTGTTCCACTCAAGTCCTTACCTTGCCTTTATTTTTGCACCGTTGACCATAGACATATACTTCCAGTTACAAAAAAAGTTTTAAATGATGCAAGTATTCATGTTTTAGAATTTTTGCATTAGAAGAATACAACTTTTTAAAAATTACAAAATATAACTTTTTATACATTTATTCGATCCTTGTATTTATATTTAGGAAATTTTTGTGCTCGTTGTGAAAAATAAAACATAAAAAGTTTAACTCTCGTACAACAAAAGTTGACAAAGATATTTAATTTCAAAATTTGTGGTGAATTTCTGTTTGCCCTGAGGGTTCAATCAATAAATAAATTAGAATAATTCGAGGTTGATTTTTCTTCCTTATATGCCATTCGATACTGTTTTGTGAATTACCAGTGTCTTTAATTTATAATTTTGCTATATTTGGTATGCTGAAAAAACTTTTACACAAGTAATTTAAAAGTTTCAAAGCCTAAAAAAGTTATTAATATCCTTAAGAAGTTTTATTACTTTAAAATCGTAATCTGCTAATCGTAAAAAATTCATTAAAATTTTTATTTTTAAAGCATTTTAAATATTTTTCATTTTTTATTAATACAAATCATTTTACGCAGTACTAAAGCCTACCATTATCTTCTAAAACACGAATTCTAATGAGATTCTGTATATAAGATCTCCGTTCTTTAAAAAATTTGTATTTATCAATGCTTTTCACGAAAATCTGCATAGGAACTTTTTCTAGCCTGATAACTTATTTTTAGTTACGTACATAAGCAAATATGTTGCTCTTAAATTTCTGTACGGCTCTTAAATATGATTTCCGAATTCAATATGAAATATCTCTGTCAAATTTTGTATTGAAATCAAACTTCTTGTTTCCCCCCCCCTTTTTTTTTTTTTTTTGCTTTTTTATTTTATTTTATTTTTCCTCAGTAACGAATTTAGAACTTCTTAAATGTAAGTATGAAGAGCACGGAACGGGAAAAAAATTTAATTTCATTTTTTATATAAAATTTACTTTTTTTATTTTAAAAATATGAAAATACGAATCTGCGTCATTTAAAACGTTTTTGTAATCGGAAGTATATATCTATGACCAGTGGTTTGCGAATATAAAGGCCGTCTTAGAACTTTTGTGAACGCTGTGTTCAAACACCCAGCTCTAAAAAATAAATAATAATAAATAAAAAAAAAAAAAAAAAAAAAAATCTGAACGGTTTTTCAGATTTTAAATTACGGCCGTTTTCTTAACATTTTATGTTTTACTTTTGTTTATTAAATATCATGTTCTTTGCACTCAAACCATAAAATTCAGTTCAAGAGCAATATCGCAAAATAATTTTAAAGTGAGCATATCATTAGAATTTCCGTATCGGAAATTCTAATCTCGCGCGCTGAAGATAAAAATATTTTTTCTATACAACGTTGCCATTGCTCGCTTTGAGTTTGTTAATCAAAAATTCGTTAAAGTTTTACAAAATATGAAACCGATAGTAAAACAAATTCTAAATTTCAAATTTGAGCTTCCAGATGCCCATATTCGCAGGAGGATTACGTTATTCAAAATGTGATGGCTCTAGGTACCGTTGTTTTATCACAATGCGAGAAACATGCATAAATTTATGAATATTCTTCATTATTTAATTTCTTTAAACATAATACAGGGCGATAATATTTAGTGGCAACAATTTGAAAAGTGAAACAACACTTGTAGTGAATCAACGCAAAAGGCCAAATGGTTAACAGTCGTTCTGGGCAAATTTCTCCTTTGGACTTAAAAATAAATAAATAAATAAATAAACAAATAAGTACAAATATTTACAATAATGCGTATATTGTTATAAGTACATAAATTAGGTTTAAATCATAGATCATCTATATGCTTCAGTTATTTTAATCACGGTTTAGATGTTTAGATGTTTTAGTCATATGTGCTTTGGCCATTTAGGTTTTAATCAAGCAAACTCTAGGCGACTATTTCTCCTTCATATGATATACACTCAAAAAAAGTACAGTAAACGTGTCAATTTAATTACCATTTATTTCTCTTTAAATACATTTCTTAGTATATTATGCAGCATTAATAATGTTTTATTAGTCCATAGGGGCTTTGTGCCTGAAGGACTATTGTTTTCGTTTTGCAATTTTGCGTCGATTCACTACAAACGGCGAATCACTTTTCAAACTGTTGCCACAAAGTATTATCGCCCTGTGTTATATTTAAAGAAATTAAATAATGAAAAATCTGCATAAATGTATGTATAATTCTCACATTGTGATAAAACAATGACACATAGAGCCATCGAATTTTGAATGACGTAATCCTCCTACGAATATGGGCATGTGGAAGAGCAAATTTGAAATTTGGAATTTGTTTCATTATCGATTTCCTATTTTGTAAAACTTTAACGAATTTTTTATTAACAAACTCAAGGATTGCAAAGCGAGTAATGGCAACGTTGTACAGAAAAAACATTTTTATCTCCAGCGCGTGAGTTTCTGTATCGGAAATTCTAAAGATATGCATGCTCATTTTAAAACTATTTTGCGATATTGCTGTTGAACTGAATTTTATTGTTTAAGTGCGAAGAACGTGATATTTAATAAATGAATGTAACACACAAATGTTAAAAAAACGCTCCTTTGGACATAATTTAAAATCTGAAACATTTCAGATTTTTTTTTTCCCCTTTTCTTTTTTTTGTTTTGTTTTGTTTAAATTGTGTTCTTTAAAAAAATCTTTCTTTTGCCTTTTCCAGAGAGATCAAAATTCTGAAAATACTTGGTTTAGAGAGTTATATAATGAAGGCTGGAATAATTATCTTTGGCTTGGTAACAATAAAGACTGGTATTTAGGTATAAAAAAGTCAGGCAAAATGAAGCGAGGCCATCGGACAGAGAAAACACAAAATGCTGTGAAGTTTGTGCCAAGGCCTGCTTCCCCATCATATAACTGAAAATATAAATATATTATGATGGTTATCTTCTTTATATTGTGTACTTTCAAAGATGTATAAATTATTGTTTTAAGTTCCCGTACGTTTAGGAAATAGATTTACCTAAAGTTGGGTATTGTGTATTTATGATATTGTTTCAATGTATGTTAATTTTTATATTGATGTTTTCTCCATTAAATTATCATATTCATCATTAATATATTCATTGTTGAATGAAGTATTAGTTATCACGTATTGTTTCCTAAAATGACCATCATTGTTCTAAAATGTAAAGCTTTTTCAGCTGCATTTTCCCCATAGTCTTAGATGCAGCTCTAAATGTTGATTCTACTATATACAAGTTTTAATTATGTTCATGTAACGTTTTTCATCACAATCAAAATAATTTTTTAAAAAATTATTATTTATGATGGGGACCAATTACGTTTCTCAGGATTTACTGCCTGTGTTGCTTTTATGGGTTCAAGTAAAGAATAACAGAAATCTGCCCTTTTCTAGCCATTAATTATGATTTTTGCTCTTTATAATATTTTATTTAAAGGGATATAGCTCCAGAAGCATCCTGTTACGAAATTTCATTTATTGAATAAGAATTTGGAGATTTTTAAGTTGCTACGGAGCAATTTTAAAAAATAGCTAACAAAAATACATCGGATGTATTTCCGATTTCCCTTCCATGTTTGAACAAGTTGAAAATAGCTGATAAATTATTTGTTCGGTGCTACTTTGGTAGACGGTGTCACGAATTTTTGGCGATTTACATTGGCGCGGTTTTTACAATCGTCAGCCTTCTTGAAAAACGCTGTTTTTACGTAGTTTACGCATAGTAAAGTATTCGAAACTTTAAAAAAATAAATATCGTTAAAAATAATGGATTAATTTTTTGTTGAAAACGTCGTTTTTTAAGATGGTAGGCAAATGTAAATAAATACATTTACTACGAGTATAAAATACTAAAGTAAGGTTAAATTATTACTTTCATATAGCAAAGAAATGGAATAAAAACACCGCTATAAAATCATTGCGCCAACGTTTAATTGGATTAAAATATTACTTAGATTGAATATCGAAAAAAACATCATACCAACGTTTAAAAGAATTAAATTATTACTTAAATTCAAATACTTTAAAATAAGTTTCATAGAATATAATTATTTTCTAACTGCTCCAGTCGGCTACAGCTTCTGAAAAAATACCGAGCTCACATTGAATTCTATCGTAAGAGGAACCCATGAATATATCGTACACTAGAGCTAAAATGACGGCAATTGGAAGTTTACTACCATAAAAAAGAAGGAATGTCTAATATGTACTTTTTTTTACCGTTACAGCGGTTATTTTTTCCACTGTGACCACAACACCATATACGGCCGTCCTCAGAATCGGCTCTTTTAACGATCTTCATCTGTGATCCATATTTCTCGCTCATCATTGAAAAAGCAATTAGCGAGGTTTCCTCCAAAAATTTAAAATAAATTTCCTCTGACCCTTATCACAATTTATAAATAAGTCTTTGATTAGGAAAGCCAGATTGGCCTAATTGGTCTCAAAGGACAACTTTTTGATTCCGATACTAATAATTTTTGGTACTTACCAGTAACAACATTCATCTTTGACGCACTGAAGAAACGGTGTATTTATCCTTGACCCAGGCACCAGGGTGCCTGGGTGTGTGTGTGTGTGTGATGTATCAGCTTTTGTCCAGAATAAATAGATCGTTGAAGAAATATAGATGTAGTCGTAGCTTAAATTATCAGACGATAAGTTTAAAAAACAGGATCCATTTATTATTATTCAGGAGAAATAGCAGTTACAAAATCAGATATCCGGAGTAAATAAAAAAAATTACTAATAACTTTTTGTATGAAGTTACTGCATCGTGACATTTAAGAAAAAGCCGCCGATATTCTTTTGCGAGTCTTTTATAGCCTCTGGAAAGGCGGAGCTTCCAAGAAATGACGTCAGCCTCGTCAGCCAATCCAGTTCGCTTTAAATATTTCCAGAACATTCTATAACTGTACGTGTAGAAAAGGCGGGAAAAACAACTTGACTACGAGGCTGTGGATTTAATTCCACGTACTTTCAAATAAGAAACCGTCGCCATTAAAAAATGAAAAGAACATACAGCTAGAACTAAGTGTATTCTTGACTATGGTATTTTATTATTACATATATATATAATTAAATCATGTTTTTAACAGTTTTTTAAATTATAAGAATAGAAATAAGATAAGAGATAAATTAAAAGATAAATTTCTAAAAAGACTAAAGTGCGGTGTCAAGTTCAAGTTTCAATAGATTTGAAGTATTCATCTTTGAAAGGGACATATCCGTTCCCTATGAAATCTAAGGAATTCAAAGAGATGAATAATAAAATTTTAAAATGACGTGGTAATGCACAAATATTCAGTATGCAATCAAAGAGCTGATTACAGCTCGTTAATGCACAAATATTCTGTAACCAATCAGGGAGCTGATTACATCACGCATAGAATTAAAATTACTTAAATAATCATACATAATAAAATTATTTTAAAAATGCAAAATTAAATTGTATTTTAATATTTAACAGCCATAATTAATGTTTAAAACATTAGATTGAATTTATAGATATTAAAACCAATTGCTTTTAAGTAAGATAACGTCATTGATTATATCATCCACAATATAAAATTATATAAAATATCATAAACAATAAAATTTTTATTTTAAATAAAAATGCAAAATTAAATTGATTTTTAATATTTAGATGCCATAAATAATATTTAAAATACGGAATTTATGCATATTAAAACACATTATTTTTTTAATAAAATGACAAGTATCGGTTACCATAAATAACTTGTCCAGCAATGGGTTTGCCATAAGTCGTATCGCTCGCCAAAAAAAATCTTCTAAATCCGTGCAACCGTCTATCAAAGATGCACCATTTGTTCTGAAATCCTCCATATTTCTTTGCGTTACTATTCAAAATCTACGTCAGTAATATTTTTGCCTTAATTTTTAAATAGATATCTTAATGTAACTAAGATTTTCTTTTTGAAAAACTGTTCTTCAATCGCACATTTTTTTTTAAATTTGATGAGGATGAAATTAAGTTATTTAACATAAAATTTCAGTGATTGTACTATATTAAAAAGCTAAAAATATTCTACTGTAATTTAGAAGAAAGAAAAAATTATTTTTATTATAATGAGATACCAGAAACATTTTTTAATCATTATGCCACTGACTGGTTTATTAACGTGAATATTCATTGCTTCAATTGTTAACAAAATCTTTTATTTCAGTTTAGGCCAATAATTGTTGCTTTATTTATGTGTAATTTTGTACATTTTAAAAAATTATTTGTGTAAAATTATTATGCATACGTATAGAACATTGCATAATACGTCTTAGGGATCTTTATGAAAAATTTTTTCATGGCCTCATAACTTTTTTTTTTATATTATGTGTTTCTTATTCTGACATTTCTGTCCAAGTTTCAATACCTTATTTCTCAAAATGCAATTTCACATTTTTCATGCTAAATGATTTTCATCTTCATTCATAAGAGCACTGAAGTTCAGTCATAAGAGCAAGTGCTATTAATGTAGGGTTGTGAATTTGCTAAACTGTATCAAAAGATTGACAATGTTTCGCTTAATTTTAAGTTTGGGGAAATATCCGATTCTTTAATTTCTGTCTAAAGCAAGCCAGTCTCTTTATCTTAAAGAAATGTGTCAAAGGTATTTCAGATGTTTTCCAATATGAAAAAGAATTTCGGAAATAGAAATTCAAAGAAACAGTTATATTTTTGCGTGATATGAGATTTAAAATCTCCACTGTCTGTAGAGGTGCTATTTCTCTTACGACTATAAATGCGCTTAAGATTGTTGCTATACTGAGTAATTTCATAATTGTTTCTTTTCTTCATCAGTATGCAGTACCAAGCTAAATACATTAGAAATCATTTTATTTGTCTAAGTATGGAATATTTATGTAATTTTAGAATTCCATACGTATGGGCTTTCATTAATATATTGCAAAACTGTTTAAGAAAAATTTTAAAAATAATGTTTACGAATGGAGCAACACGCTTTTATTTATGTATTTCAGATTAGAGAATAATTTTCTGTCTCTTCTGCGGTCTAGTACACTTAAGTGTCCTTTATTAAGGCGCTTTATGTCTTTAGAAAAGCAAAATAAAAAGTGTCATAGCAGGAATTATGTATACAATGCTTGTAATATATGTACCTAAAAAGGAATAATCACATATAATTAAAAAAATAAAATATTTTGTGGAAACAATGTGTTTTTATCTCTGGATATGTATTTTATTTCTTTCTGGCGTATTGAATACTTTTAATATTTTAAAGGAATTTAATGTTCTAAGAAGAATATTCTGCCAACCTTTGACTCCAGATTGATTTTGAAAAGTACATATGATTATAAGCATTCAAAATAGAATGTTATCAGCTAAACGTAGTTGCTAAATACCTATAGACAGGGCCGGATTAAGATTTTCAGTGCTGATTTAAAGAGTTTAGTTTGAAATTCAAATTTATATTATTTTCATTTCCTCAATAAACAAACATGAACAACGCACCAGAAAATAAATAGAATGGAGCTAATTAATTTACATTGTGATAAAAAATTTTAAAAGTTTTATTCGTACTTGTTAAAAATAAATAAGCTCAGTTACGAACTTTTGCACTAAGAATAATCGCTTTGTTTGGGAAAACATTTAAATGTGAATAGCTTTTTTTTCCTACATTTGAAAATTAATAACAGAAGAGACCAGTTGACTGATGAGCATCTGCAATCCGCGTTGGAGGTAATTTCTAGTAATTTCTCTCGAAGGTTAAAAACTTTGTCAGAATCGAAATGCCATCATGTTTCAGGTGATAACAGGAAATAAAGAATTTTATAATTTTTACATACAAAAATTTTTTTTTATTTATGCATCGAAGATAAATTTAATAAATAAGAGAAAAAGATTAGTTTGTTATTATTCATTCTCACATTTTGTCACACAGGGTGAATTTTGTTAAAAATAATTTATTTTAATTTTATTTAAAATTAAAGTAAACAATTAAAAGATTAATCAAATATGTTAGAATTATTTTAAAAGAAATGGCAGTCTAAAATTTAATATTTAGCTGTTCATTTATTTGAATTACGTCGTGTAACCAAAAGAAATGTTTTACTGGTACCAAACTTTAGATTTCAGATAGAAAATAAATATAAATTTGAATTTTTTCTTTTCTGTGTTATTAGTATTATTATTGTTTATGTACGTTTTGATAAATATTTAGTGAAGTGAAATTTAAAATATGGAAAATACTTTTAAAATTTGTTAATAAAACTTTCCATATAAGAAAAAAAATCTGGCCTAGATCGCGCATTCGACCCATATACGATTTGAATTTAAGACCACTGCCCTAAGTACTAAAAAAAATTTGACACTCCATACATTTACAATATAACGCCCGTGTTTCCTCCATTCCGTCTCTATCGGTCTTAGTTCAGCTGAACCATACATTCCTTGCTAAAACTGAGACATGAGAGATTTTTGTGGCATTCCCTTACCTTGAGTCTTAAAAACCTTTTTGTGGTGCCCCTTTTCATTGATAACCTAAGAATATAGTTATTTTACTTAAAAAATAATCCAGTTTTGCAAATAGATAATTCATAAAAATTATATAATAGGAAGATTTTAATCTCCAACGTAACTGAAAAAAAGTTGGCAGAATTTTGAAATTTTGGAAAGTCACCAAGACAATGTTGATTCGCCAAATGTGGCTACATTATAAATGTTTTCAAAAGTAAATAATTATTTTACCATAGTGAAG